ACCAGCGAGATGCGCGCCTGCTGCTGGAGGTATTAAGCGTACGTGAGATGTGCTCCATGCTGCTAGCACATCTTGCATGTCTAACAGCAGCCCCTCGAACACGTGTGACTGATGCTGTCACCCCATGGAGTTACAAGACACAAACCGTTTTAGAGTGACTAACAGAGAACAAGAAATGATGTAAGGGAGAGAGGAAAAAAAAATGACAGCACAGGAAGAAGTGGGCTGCAGCACCGAAAAAAACCACTGCAGGCCCCAGCCACTGCTGCAACAACAGGGCCTCCTAGTGGTGAAACGAGGGAAAGCAGGGAAGGTTCATTTGTCTCCGTTCTGCCATTGTGTTCCAGTTGCTTCTAGATCACTAACCCTATCGAGGGCTTAAGTATAGTCACAGTACATTAGTACCCACTTCCAAAGGAGCTTACATTCTAATGGCCCTGGAGCATTGACATAAGAATACTCAATCCAGGACTGATTTGAATGAAAGCCAACCTGATATATTTTTTGAGGAAGGAAGGCGACACAAGCCTAAGAACACATGAGAAGCACATAGACACGATGTGCAGACAGTGTCCCCGGCAGGAACTGATCTCATGCATGATAACAGTGCTAATCATTTAGCCAATTTGGTGCACTGTGAACACAGCGGGAGACTTGTTGCACTCCTTACTGGATACCCCAACGACAGGGGAGGGTGTTTGTAGTGACTGCGGATGGATCATTTGAAGAGATGTCACCAGCACACAAAAAATCCTTGACATGGTTATCCTGAAAGGATTTTTGGTGTGCTGGAGACATCTCTTCAAATGATCCATGAACACAGCTTAGACCCCTGGTTCTCAACTGGTGGGTCCTGACCCAAAAGTGGGCCGCAGCCCCATGTTCAGTGGGTCCCCGTGTGCCTTCCACTTTTCTAGGTGACAGGCACCTCAGCCTCCCCCCTAGCGCAGGACTGTCAGTTATCGCGCCAAGCAGCCATTCAAAATATGCTGCCCGGAGTCGAGTGACAGCTTGAGGTGGGGTGGGCTCCATCCATACGTGCATTGCTTACAGCCCCCTCACATGTCCTGTAGAGGTGCCTGGACCGGAGTGACATCACATTCTGGCTCTCGGCACCTCTACAGGGTGTGCATGGGAGTTGTACAAGCAATGTACATATGGATGAAACTCCATCACAGCAGCCCACACCGGACCCGAACGTGCTGTACCACGCAATCGCACCTACCACGTGTGCTGGTGTGAGAAGTGCATTGCATTGCATTTCATTGGAATGGCACACCAAACGCACCTCCCACCCAGTTCTATTGCCCGCATCAGAACTCGCAGTACCGCACATTACAGGAGCTTACATTCGAACAGCGCATACCCAAGAACATATGTCAGTGATGGTTGGCTCAGAAACAAATTACAGGTATGTTTTTTTTTTGGGTTGTGGATGGAAACTGGAGAAAAGCATAGACTGAACGTAGGACCTCAGCAAGAATGTTCACCACTAAGGCCTGGTTCACACCTGGGCGTTTTACGGCGCGTTCCTACGCTCTGTAAAACGCTCAACATGTGAAAACCAATAATTGCCTATGGGCATGGTTCCCACCTGGGCGTAGGAACGCGCTGAAAAACGCCCTACGCCCAAAGAAGTACAGGAGCTTCTTTGGGGCGTATTTACCGCGCGTATCCATTAGGATACAGCTGGATAGCCCTCGTAAACGCGTGTTTGTCGCGCGTTTCTTTTACCGCAAATTGCAATAGAAACGCGCGGCACAAAATGCGCATATTCCGTACGCCCAGGTGTGAACCCAGCCTAAATCACTGCCACAGGTCATGGACCCCATGCTGGAGAAGATAGGCAAAGTGCTGTAACCCATGGCAGCCAGGCAGAAATCTTCTTAAAATATAACACTTTGGTCACACTGTTCTAAAGAAAAAACGTCAGCATATAATGTAATAAATAAGGCCCCATTCACTCTGAGCGATTTGTGGCGCGATTTCAGCTCCAAAATCGCTCCAATATCAGTACAATGCCGCTCAATGTAGCTCGTCCAATGCATTTCAATGGAGCTGTTCACATCTCACTGCTCAATGTCGCCTGTAGCTCGTCGCTTAAGCTTGTCGCTGGAACATGACCTATTTTTCGGCGGATTTTGTGCGATTGTGCCCAATACACTTTAACGGTGTAGGACGTTGTCGCGCTACAGAAGTGTCACTTTTGCAGAGAAATATAAGATGGAAGGAATGATGTCACATCAAGACCGCTTTTGATTGGTTACAGCCCAATGTAGCAGCTACAAAGTTCCTGCGAAAAGTCACGCTACGTAGCGCGACAAAATGTGCACTGTAGCTCAATATAGCTCAGCTCAAAATCACGGTGAAAAAAGTGTTGGTTTTTTTTTGGATGTAGCTCAGTGTGAATGGGGTCTAAAGGATAATACAGGATCTGGAAATGTACTCCTATCTGGCTTAAATCTGCAGTATCCTGGTCTACCAAAAATGTAAACATTAGCTTTAGGTGGACTGGTCCTTTAAAAGTGCTCCTATGCGGTGACCGCACAAAAATAGACCCACGTAAAATACTGAGAGGGGAATTTATCAATACTGGAGCAGGCAGAATCTGGAGCAGTTGTCCATGGCAACCAATCAGCATCCACCTTTCATTTTCAAACCTTAACTGAACCAACTGGAAAGAGAAGCTGATTGGTTGCCACAGACACCTGCTGCAGATTTTGTCTGCTCCAGTTTTGATAAATTCCCCCATGTAATGTGGTTCATTGGAAATGAATGGCTATTTTCACAACTATCTAAAGTGAACTATCTGATTTTGTTTTTGTCATCCACAACTCTTATCTGTATATATACACTGAGTGGCCAGTTTATTATGACCACCTGACGTTTGTAGGCAAATTAGCTATAATTTTGCGCTGAAGTAGCTAGAGGGCCGGGCCAGACCATTATAAATAGGGAAGCAGGTTGTTTACACGACAGTAGAAGTGATTATTTCTGAAGATACGGGTAAACAACGCAATTTAACAGCCTTTGAACGTGGGATGATTGTTGGCGCTCGGAGCCATGGAGCGAGTATCAGCAAAACAGCAGAATTCGTTAAATGTTCAAGAGCAGCTGTTAAAGTGTTTAAAGACTGGACTGTCAGCCGAAAATCTGGGTCTGAACGTGCGAATTGTGGCCGTCAGCTACTAGTCAATGTTACGGCAGAGCGGAGAGTGGCAAGACTGGTACAAGACAACAGAAGGGCAACAGTGCAGTGTCAGATTCCTCGCATCACCTTTCAACATCTCGTGGAGTCACGAGGCGGCCCAACTAAGTACTGATGGGGTGGTCATCTGGCCACTCTCTGTATATATATATATAGTATATATCTCCAGCCTCATCTCAAAGTATCACCCTAATCGTCCCCTCCGCTCCTCCCAAGACCTCCTGCTTTCCAGCTCCCTCGTCAACTCCTCCCATGCTCGCCTCCAGGACTTCACTAGAGTCTCTTCCACCCTTTGGGACTCCTTACCCAACCTGTCCGTCTATCTCCCACTCTGACTGCCTTTAGGCGATCACTAAAGACTCATCTCTTCAGGGAAGCCTGTACCACCAACACTGAACTATCACTTTCACAAACAATACATCCCCACAGAGCTACCACCTCTTGTATCACTGGTCCCTCCCTATTAGATGGTAAGCTCCCAGGGGTAGGGCCCCCCTTACCATCTTGTCTTGAATTGTGATTCTAATGTCTTCCTTATATTGTAAAATGCTGGGCAATCTGTTAGCGCTATATAATTCCTGTATAATAATAACAGTAATAAATTCAAAGCTGTAGAAAGGTCTACAGAACTCAGCAGCTCGTTAGTCCCATGTAGTAGCTAGCAGGCATTTTTCTCAACCTCATAGGAGGATCTGTGCGCATCTGACTGCATGGCAACACTTGCTTCTCAACAAACTTCCTTTCCTGTTAATTAATGTGAAAATAGCCACGCATTTCCAATTAATCAAATCCTTTATTATTTATGTGGGCTTATTTTCGGTGCAGTCAGAGCATAAGACCACATTTAAAAGGGTCAGTCCAGCAAAAGGGAATGATTCAGTTTTTGGTAGACAAGGATACTGCACAGTTTAACCATGACAATCTTATATCTCTGGAAGACTACAGTGGGTAGATTTCTGTTCTTGAGTTCCTGGGTCCGCCTAAGCCAGTATAAGGGGGTATCTGATAGATTTCTAACATACTAGGGAAAATTAGGACTGACCTGAAGTCACAGAAATAAATATGCAGTCACCCTGGATACTAAATATAACAGGTAGATCCTGCCGCTGGAATTCCCCAAAAAGCCAGAGGGTGACACAGCCCAGCAGACTCTGCCTATAACTGAAAGACCACTTTCAGGGAGGCGAACCTGTTAATGGTGCATTTGTTAATTGCATTGTGGTAAATTAAATTGTATGCCGAGAGCCAAACTCTTCTTCCACTTAGAGAAATACATGGGCTGGCCAATGCCAAATGCCTCCTGAAAATGCAGTTTGCCTGGTCGTCATGCTAAACCACCAGTTACTTCTGAGTCATTAACCTAAAACAAGGATGCAGCCAGACAGAACTCTCATCTGCATGTTTTTTTCAGTCAGGGACTCATCAATGAAGCAGAGGATTAGCATAACAGCCGACCAACTAGCATTTTGCATATTTCTCTCTTGACTCTTTACAAGCCGATCCCAAGGTGGGAAGCAAAACACAAGGTTTGAATTCATATAAGTTGGGTGTCATGGGACTAAACCGCCTAGGAGCGGCATTGAAAATGCGTGCACACATCTGAAAATGAAAATCACATGTGACTAAATGTATACCGGTGCATTTTGGAAATACGTATGTGTAGACACAGTCATAACAAGCTGCCGTTCACAATACAAAGGAGTCAGACTAAAGCTGGGAATATTATTTGGAATCTTCTGGCTCCTAGAACGTAGGCGCGCTGCTTTCTACATATGCGTCCCTCACCCATTACCTGTGCCATAGTCAATCCGGGTTGAGTTGCCCACAGACTCCTTTAAATACACAGCCACCTCAGGCACTGCCGCGCTTAGCGGAGAAGGGATCACCGTGGAAACGAGATTCTCGGCTTCCTGTGAATGAAACCCGGGTGTCAAACATGTTTGTGGTTTTCTCTGCTGGAGCAATGAAGACGACTGTGCATACAATAAACATGCATCTTTACAGCTGTACTGGATTAGAACGTTAAAGCTGAACTCCGGGCAAATAGAAACCGTTTATACAAATGTCATTCTCAATAGTCACAAAGGATATAAATCCACTTTGTGTGCACCAAATGCCTTTGTTATCCCAGATATGGCCCTATCGCTGTGCTGTACATAGCACAGAGCTGTGGGAGGGACCCAGCAGACTCCACCCACTACAGGCTGCCTGCAGAAAACTAAAGGAGGGGGCGGAGACAAGACCAGTCACCCTGCACAAAGAAAGAGAGCAGCAGTGACCGGTCTTTACCATAGGAAGCTCCTGCACATATTATTGCACAGATCTGGAAAAAATACACACAACTTGCCAAGATTCAACGAAGAATACACTTGACTTTTGTGTTTTGACAATATTTGCTTATCCCGGACTTAAACTTTAAAGGGTTTGTATACCCAAAACTGATGTTTCCATTACTGTTAAACCATATAACAGTTTCCCTCACATCATAAGGGCCCCGGTGGTGATGGTTGTTGCTCTCTCTTTTTTATTGATCTTATATATATAGAAGGGGGAAAACCCAAAACTGTAAGGTGGGTAGATAAACCACCATGGACAATGAATCCCACTGTAGTATTCCCTTAGAGATATCCGATTATAATCACAATGGATTGGCTTAGAGTAGATATGCTACACGAGAGATCACGTAGCATGTTTATTCTGTTTATTACTCCTTCATTGCAGTTCAGCTAAATGCTGTATAGGGAACCAGTAAAAATCACATTCTGTGTCTGCCAGGGCTCCTATCCTCTCTCTATTTCCTACGGGGATTATACAGATACTGTCACATAAAATGAAAGGTTAGAACTTGGTGTTAAACAAATCACAAACCGGTTAGCTAGTTCTCTATGAAACCTACCTGATCCAGCTTCCCATACCAAGTACGAAACGCCTTGTTCCCAAAACGCGATGGTTGGTCCACAGGGGGTGTCTCGTCAATCCAGAGATCCAATGTGTCCAGCAAGGCCATTAATTTCTCCACTGCCTGTGTGACAAAAGCATACTCAGTAATTCACCAGTAATATCATCTGAGATAATTCATGTGCGTGCAAAGGCAGGCGTCCCAATACTTTTGGCAATATAGTGTGTATATAAAAAGGGAAGCACATTGAGAGACCAATAAGTGATTTTAGAGCAACCAATCAGAGCCCAGCTGTTATTTATTACAATGTGCTAGACAATGTAAAACAGATACCTGGTTGGCCGCTTTGGACAGACCACCTTAGAATGGATTGGAGGAAGGCCTGTGACTAAAATAGTATTCAGTAACCAAAACCCATCAGATTATTATTTTATACTGCCTGGGTCATGCTGTTTTTTTTTGCTTCACTGCCTATTCTAGAGATGCAACAAAAATGAAGGATATCTCCCCAAAGTGAGAAAACTTCCCATCTGAGATAGTAATTGGGACACTTGCCCCATAGGATGATTGAACCTCCCTCATGACTTGATGACAATTCTGAACGTTTGTATTTACCTTCACTTTCAGAGGTCTAACCTTTACACACTATATTTAAAAAAAAAAAAGGGACCATTGCCTTTTTAAAGCATATCCAAGCATAAAAAGTATCTAAACCCAAAACTAAAAATGTGATATACTGCTACTTACCTATACTGGCTAATATACCACTTACCAGTGCCTTAGGTGAGGTTCCTGCTTTAGTTTTATTTTCTCAGGTCCCCCCCCCCACCCTATTATTTTCACCTGATAATCCTGCAAAGAACACACTTCCTGTCCCTAGGTGGCTACGCTCATTCCTCTACTTTATATACGAAGCGAGCCATGGTTGCCAACTAGGCTGGATTATAAAACATATGTGCCTTTGTTTATCTCAATTACATGGGATGGGGGCACAGGGATTAGTAGTTAACAGAATGAAGATAACATTGTTTAATGCTTCCAGGTCATCTCACAGGAACTGACAAGCACACTGCATTCCTGGCAGGATCAACAGGCATTTCTGTACTTGCTGAAAATATTCTTAGCCTGAAAAAAAAGGAAACTAATGCAACCACTGCATCTAAAGACAGCGATCTATTACACTCTTGTGTTTAGTTACCTTTTAATTTACATACATCCCTCTTTTTAGATATTTCTTAGCTTTAACCTATACAGTGCATTCAGAAAGTATGGGATGTAGACAGGTGAAGGGACACGGATGAAAAGCTGAGAAACTGAAGGGTTTACCTTCTTGTCTGCCATTGTTGGGAGATATCAATGACCACTCTTCGTTTTAGCAATAGATCATGCATAAAAGCTCACAACTTTGCTAATCAGTTGTGTTGAGGTGCAGAAACCTCAAAGAAACAACCGATTCTCTCAATACACAAACATTAGATACTAGCAATACACGTTCTGCTCAGTGGGAATGCATTTTTTGAGGACAGAGCAGTCCACCTTATCAATAGACATGCAAACCAAATCAGCATTTCAATACCAAAATTAACCTGATTACCAAAAACAAACACACGTCTTCCCACCATTAGGTTTCTTTGGGTTTTTAAAAGTGTTTAGCAAAAATAGTGCATTGTTGACCCTCCTTATTAGCAAATGGTGCCAATGATATGACTAGGAAGGCATGGGCTAAGTGATCACACCTAACCATACTGCGACTTTGCATGCCAATAGACATAAGAGATTATTTGCTCAATTTGTGCTGGTTACAATTGGAAATGACGATAGGTCCTTCAGACCTCAGCTGGCATGCCCTGGCTGAACCTTCTTGGGAAACAAGGCATTCCGCCAAGTTGACTTTTCCTAACATTCTATGTAGGGATGCACCGATACTTTTCGAGTACCAATGCTGATACTTGGCATTTTCATGAGAACTACCAGGGTTGCAGCGGTTGCAGCTGGGACCTAGCTCTGGCGCTCCACCACTGTCCTGATATCATTAGTCTGTATTTTTTTAGAAAAACTGTCACATGACAATAAACAAAAATGTATCAGTGCTTGTATCTGTGAGGACTTGGACAAGTATCAGTACTTGTATCTGTAAGTACTTGGACAAGTATCAGTACTTGTACTCGAAAAACTGGTATCGGTGCATCTCTTTATTTATATTTATAAAAACAAAATCATACATTAAAACAGAGATGTACAAATCCCAGGAGCTCCGTGTGCTCCTTACACATGACAGCCGACTCCTAACTTTTGAATTTTTTTTCTGAATCCTCCAGCGCTGAGTGACGAAACGGACATGGGAGGGGGCGGGTACAGCTGGCTCTGCCTCTAGATAGGCAGAGCCAGCTGTCAATCACGCAGCTGGGTGGATCCAGACAGTAATGTCGGGATCTGTCCTGGCTGCGGCGGTCTCAGGATACCGCGAGCTGTAACTTGCGGTATACTGAGCTTTGGGTCACGGGAGGACGCTAGTTTCTGTCCTCCCGTGACCCTGGGGAGAACTATGGGGAAAAGCACTGACCCCATAGTTCTCCTTTAAATATATATTCCACTTTTTGCAAATAATTATTAATAAAACGCACCAATAAGGTAAAAAGTAAAAATGTGCATGTATCAGTTTATTGTATTGAAGTCTTCAAAGCAAAAGTCTGTTAAAGTTGGAATGAGGCTTTTATCAGCCAATCTTTGATTCTGTATAGCTAGTCACTGATTAAAGCATTTGTAGAGGCATGATTCAAATTCCCCCTGAACCTCCCTTTCCTCCTCTAAACCATAGCTTAGCATTTATTTTTTTTACCTTGCTCCTGCACGAAAAACAGCTTTTATTACTCCCTGTGATATCAACACCAGACTTTTAACAATTTTGCAGGGACAGCTCTGGTGTTGGCATGCACCCAGAGCTACATCTCCCAAGGGCCCCCTACCTACACACTGTGTGTGGGCAAGCTCTTAAGAGTTAAGGCACCATCATTGTTTTGCTGGGAAAAACATCCATATAGAGAAAGACAGAAAGGGGTGGGCGATAGGCAAACTATCTATAGTACAGATGTCAGGGTCACAATGTTGAACAGGATTTCAGAGGAGAAAAGGCACTGTGTTGTCAGGCCAAACAATAAGTTAGGAACACACTAAATTTCTGGCAGATCAAGAGTCATTTTTCTATCCTTGTAGAATATTTAAAGGGATACATTTGCAGAGATGTACTAAATATGTTTTTTATTGTGCACCAGCACACACTTGAAATGACACACAGAGGACTCTATGACCTCTATCCAACATACAACGGTTCCATTAATGTGCATTCCCAGCATGTGTTATTGTCTAGGGTTGGAGGAAAGAGCAGGACACCCCAACGCTGGCTCTATTTTAGCGTGGCTGAGCATAAAAACAAAATTCAGCCTGGCTTATTGATTACTTCCACAGAATGAACAGACAGGGGTGCACAATAATTCAGTTAAAATTAGCCAAACCCACGGGCCTATGGGCTCCATGTCAATACAGAAGAGAAGAAGAGAATAATGTCACCAGCACACCGCAATAGTAAATCAATGATCCATTTTAATGGCACATTGCCATCCAATTCTATTGGATGGCAATGTGCCATTAAAATGGATCATTGATTTACTATTGCGGCGTGCTGGTGACATTATTATTTTCTTCTGTGATATACACAGTGCCTTCTGTGGTCACTACGAGCACCCACCCAGTTTGGGGTTTTTTTCCGGTAAGGAGTGCAGCAAGACATCTTGTTTCTAAAACCATGTCAATACAGAAGTCTCTTTTTCACTCCAGCTGATTAAAAGACAACTGAAAGTATAAGGTGAGAAACCGGTAGGCTGCTGTTGCTGTCCTCAAATGCATGCTGTCTTGCTGGTCCATCATCTTTTTATTGCTTGCTGGATCAAAAAGAAAAGATTTCTGACTTCATTGGCTCCATGTTTGTTCCAGATATGTTATTTAGAAAGTAGTAAAGGCAGCAAAAATGTTCTTAGAAGGTGGTCTGCAACAGCAGACTGCATATTTTTTTACATAAAATGTAGGGCTGCCACAAGCTGCCAAGCTAGAACTTAAAAAGAGCACCTGTTTACAGTACACCTCTTTCTTCTGACTACCCATCCTGGGGGGAACTGGTACAGCATCTACATCCTTTAGCGTGTCTGAGAACAGGCCATAAGAGTTTCATAGTGGGCAGAGGGCATATTGTCGGAGGCCTGTGTTAGTCTGCCTGTATTCTCTACTAGCCATCTGACACCGACCCCAACCTCTTCGTTGGCCATACACTGGTAGCTTCTCATACGAATGTTCATACAAAAAATCTCATCAGAACATCCAATAATGCCATCAGAGACTTGACGAATGTCGTTCAATATTGTGTTTGCTTTTAACATTCAAATGAATAGAGTTTCTTGAACAAAAAACACTCACTGATACCATTTCTTTCCTTCAAAAAATTGTTTTCCATCCTACTCCTTTTATTTTTTCGCCATTACGGCTTATTGATTTGATCGCATTAACTATGAGAAAATCAAATGAATCTTGCGATAATGATTTTACATTTTACTGGTGTATGGCCAACTGTATAGAATACTGCTTGTCCCCTTGTGTTTGTATCAGGAGCCCGGCAAGATTTAAACACTGTACTGGTCCCACACATGTAGTCAGTGGAGAGATTTCTGTCGTGAACAATTATAATTTACAATCGCAGTTTGGTGGCGTATCGGCCGCAGCCCTGCATTTCAAACTTGAACAAAGGTAGGCTTATACTTTCAACAGGTTCATTTTTTTTAAACAAGCAGGTTGAGCCCAAACAATTGTGCGGGTTTAAGCCACATGTATTCTACAGAAGGACCATGCAGCAGTCAGATTTAAGGAGCTCCCTAACCCTAATCCCGTGCTCGTCAATCATTCCAGCCAATAACTATAAAACAGGCCTATGCCATGTTCATGCCAAAAGATTCAGCTGTGGGTGCTGCAGCTTCGAATTGTAATTAAGAATCAAGAAAAGGAATAGATGCTTGTGTTAAACAATACTGGTGATTTACATGGCCAGCAGCCTCCCAGCTATAGGCAGCTCATTACAG